CATCAGTTGGCTGTATGTGAATGATTTAATTTCTGCATAACCAATTCTATTCCACTGATCAATGTACCAGTACCAAGTTGTTTTGACCACTGTCAGTGTAATAAATTTGAAATCAGGGAGTGAGAGGTTTCCAACATTGTTCTTCTTCTTAAGCATGCTTTGTTATCCATGGTCTCTTTCCTTTCCATATAAAGTTTGTAATTGTTTTTTCCATCTCTTTGAAGAATGTCATTGGAATCTGGATTGGGATTGCATTATATGTGTAAATTGCTTTGGGTAATATTGACATTTTCACAATATTAAGTCTTCTTTCCAGGAGCATGGTACATTCTTCCATTTTTGTAAATCTCTTTTGGTTTCTTATAGTGTTTTGTAGTTTTCTTTGCATAGGTCCTTTGTCTCTCTAGTTACATTTATTCCCAGGTATTTCATTCTTTGGGCCGCTATTATAAATGGTATTGCTTTCCTAATGTCCTTTTCAACATTGCCATTTTTGGTATAGAGGAATCCAACTGATTTTTGTATATTGATCTTATATCCTGCCACTTTGCTGAATCTTCCAATGAAGTCTAGCAGCTTTTTTACTGAGTCTTTGGGGTTTTCTATGTATAGGATCATATCATCTGCAAATAGAGAAAGTTTTACTTCCTCTTTTCCAATTTGGATGCCTTTAATTTCCCTGTCTTGCCGTATAGCTCTTGCAAAGACTTCCAGCACAATATTGAATAGGAGCGGTGACAAAGGGCATCCTTACTTGGTTCCTGTTTGCAGAGGGAAGGCTTTCCGTTTCTCTCCATTGAGAGTAATGTAGGCTGTTGGTTTTGTATATATGCTTTTGATTATGTTGAGGAATTTCCCTTCAATTTCTACTTTGTTGAGTGTTTTTATCATGAGTGGATGTTGAATTTTGTCAAAACCTTTTCTGCATCACTCGATATGATCATGTAGTTCTTTTCTTTTTTCTTAGTTATATGATGCATTACATTGATCGTTTTCTAATGTTGGACCATCCTTACATCCTTGATATGAATCTCACTTGAATATGATGTATTATCTTTTTGATGTTCTGCTGGATTCTGTTGTCTAGGATTTTGTTGCAAATTTTTGCATCTATGTTCATGAGGGATATTGGTCTATAATTTTCTTTCTTAGTGATGTCCTTCCTTTGTTTTGGTATGAGGGTTTTGCTTCCTTCATGAAATGTATTACAAAAATTTTCATCCTCCTTTATATTCTGGAATAATTTGAGTTGAATTGGTGACATTTCTTCCCTGAAGAACTCACCAATGAAGCCATCTGGGCCTGGACTTCTTTTGGTTGAGAGTTTTTTGATGACCTGATCAATTTTTTCTGTTGTTATGGGTCTGTTCAAGTCTTCTACTTCACTCTGTGTAAGTTTAGGTAGGTCACATTTTTCTAAAAATGTATCCATCTCTTCTAAGTTTTCAAATTTGTTGGAGTACAACTTTTCATAGTATTCTGTTATTATCCTTTTGATTTCCTTTGGTTCCGTTGTGACATTGCCCACATGGTTTCTAGTACGTGTTATTTGTGTCTTCTCTCTCTTTTCTTTTGTTAGGTTTTGTAGTGGTCTGCCGATTTTGTTAATCCTTTCAAAGAACATATATATATAGTCATTGTTGGTAAGTGTAATCAAGTCAGTTGAAGCCCATAGTGACCCTTTATAGGATTTCCAAGGAGCAGCTGCAGCTGGTGAGCTGGAACCACCAACCTTGCAGTTCAAACCAACTATACAGTGCAGCTCATTAACTTGCAGCATCACACCAGGACCCCAATATGCATATATCTATAGTCCTGGTGTGGTACTGCCAGTTAATTTGCTGGACTGCAAAATCAGCTTGAACTGCAAGCTCAGAAGTTTGAGCTCACTAGTGCTCCTCTAAAACCCCATACAGAATTGCTATAGGTCAGAAAAACTCTAAGGCACTTAGCAACAACAAGAACAACATATATGCATGCTCTATAGAGTTATTTTGTTGTTGTTACAATCTTTATGAAATCAGATATTGAAGTCTTTCTGACATAATATCACTGGGTAGATTCAATCTATCAACATTTCAGTGAATAACCAAGCACTTTCTTGCCTGTGCCACCAGGGCTCCATATATAGCTAAATGTATACGTGTATGTGTGTCTCTGTGTTAGTGTATGAAAATCTTGGCTACCTAAAAGTCCTCAAAAACATAGTTGTTGACAGTCCTGGTAATTAGAACCAGGGCTCCTTACCCTAAATTCAGGCTTGTTTTGATTGCAGGACAAAACTTTATGTCTTTCTATTTTGGGGATTTAGAATCTAGAAATCATATATTTATGTTATGTGGTTACCTGAGAGATGTTGTCTCTGAACTTGCACTTCATGGAGCCCATTGAAAGAGGAGTTATATAGGGTTGACTCAGAATTGCTGGCTTCAGGACACACATAATGCTAGCATTTTCATATATTTAAACAGAAATGTTTTAAGGGACCTCAGCTGATTTAATCACTTTCATTGTTACAAAGAAAAAAAAACACAACAACCCAGTATTGATGAGAACCCTTGTCAAAGTAAGAAGAATCACAGTGTAGTCAAGGAGAAACCCGGGCCTTGGTATATCGTGTTTGTACATACCTTGATTTGAGAAAATAAATTCATGTTTGTTGTTGTAATAATCTTTATGAAATAGGTTTATGGCTAGAGAATGTGCTCAAGGACTCTCACTTCTTTCTGTTGCTATCCGTAGTAAAGATCTCCTTCATATTTTCTCTTTCTCCATGGTCACCAGACACAACAGATAAACCCTATTTCTAGATGTCATTGCTGTTAAAAGGAGAAAGGGAGTGGAAAACCAAGAAAAAGATCACAAAGTCAGAGAAGGAGAGGCACCAGACCTACCATTTCTGAAATCAAAATATTTTAATGATGAAATCAGACTAAATGGTTAGACTGAAGATTTTTGGTTTCCAGTGAACAGTAAGAGGGGACTGACAAGCAGCAGAGAGCTAATATTTAAAGATAATTACAGAAACATGATGATGAAAAAGCAGTGAAAGAAGGAGGTTGAAACTTCTTTCTTCCACCAAGATTATTGAAAATAGTGCATATTTTACATAGAAAGCTTACTTTATTCGACATTTAAATGCTGCTGCTTTTATTCTATCCAGAGTATTTGGAAATATGAAATACTCTGCCCCCAGGAAGCTGATAGTTACTGGGAAAGAAAAGAGAAGGAAAGAATCTATCACAAACAATTTTGTAAGTGCTCTGATTAAGGGGTCATCAAAACAATATTGCAATGAATAGGATGGGGTTATGCTGCTTTTACGGTCTCTGAGTAAAACAACGATGTGTCACAGTGGATTAATGTGCTGGACTGCAATGTCGTTTGGACCGTGAGGTCAGTGGTTCAAGCTCATCAGCTGCTCCTCAGAAATCCTAAACAGGGTAGCTGTAGGCACGGAACCCACTCAATGGCACCTAACAAAAACAACGCTAACTGAATGGGTGGTGGCTTGCTCCCATCCAGCAGCACTGCAGAAGAACAATCTGGCAATCTGCTTCTGTAAAGATTATTGCCAAGTAAATGCTATGAAAGTAAATTCTATCCGGTAACACATAAGGTTGCTGTATCAAATCAACCCAGTGGCAGTGGGGTAGGGAGTAATGGTCTTGTAGATTAGAAAAAGTTACCCAGTAGGGCTGATGCTCTGACATTTGAATAGAGCCAAAGGAATGACAAATGAAAGAGTCCCAGCAAAGGAACAGGCTGCACCATCACTGAGAAGGAACAAATTGCTCATCTGGAGTCCAGAAGGACAGGGGGTTGGCAGGGCCAGGTGACGCAGATGCTCTACTGCACCAACCCCAATCTGGTACACCTTGCTTGTTAATGCTGTTGATTAGATATTATTTTTTATACAGGATTCCTGGCAGCCCTTCCTCTCATCCCTGACAGTAGGCTACACTTGGTATTTTCTGGTGGTGATGGGTGTGTACACAGTCAAAAAGAGTTCATCATCTTAGTTTCCTATCTCAGAACTGCAGTCAGAACTGCCACTAACCAAGAGTGTGGCCTTTGTAACATCACTCAGTATTTAAGAATGTGACTATTCCTATTTCCAAATGAATGGTTGTATAATTTTGAGCTCATTCCTAGCTCTGATATACAACGATGATATATTTGGAAAGGGTATTTCTGGGTAAATATTAAACACTTTGTGTCATTTATATGGATGGGGGAGTCCTGGTGTGGAGCTGTAAGTTAAGCACTGGACTGCTAAATGCAAGATTGGTGGTTCAAATTCACCAGCTGTTTCTCAGACAACTTAAACAGGGTTATCATGAGTCAGAAATGACTCAGTGGCACTAAACAATAGTAACAACATGTAGATGGGGGAAAAGCAGTGTGATCATGGAAAGAGCATGGAAGTAAGGCCTAGTGGAAAACATATTTTTCAGTTGTGGGAAATTCGGTCACTAATTTGTTTCTAAACCCCAGTTTCTTTGTTAGGGTACAGTGATATCCACTTTGCAGGTTTACTGGATTAATTACCAATATCATATGCAATACACAGCATCATAATTAATCTTACCTTATTTGTTTATTTATGTTTTTGGAGAATTGATGGGGCCAGAGCCTAGAGAAATTTGAATTTTTTTTCCTCCATGGATCTACATAACATCGAACTACATACATTTCCCAGACTTCATCCTAAAACTCTGATAACCCACTATCAAGACATTATGTTCTAATTCTTCTTTCCACAAACTTTTTGAAATTCCTTCTTATAGTTCTAGTTTTGGGGGACTCTCAGACATCACAACACTTTGGGAGTTTAAAGAGAAATCTGCAGATTTCCAGACATCTGCAGTTGATGTCAACTGGCAGAAGTCAGAGAGGAAATGAACTCATTAGTTTAATTCTTTGTCCAGTGGGGATCTATTTTCTGAAGTTATCTTCTTCTAAATATGCATTTATTTGCTTACTTTTTGCTCCTGTAGTCACAGATGCTCACTGAGAGGGGAGGATTTGAACAGACAGTGGCTCTTTCCCAGTGCTCATCTCCAGCCCACAATTTACCATGCCAAAGGACTCCTCTACTACCTGAACAGCATTAGTCGAAGTCCGGTGGTGAGTCACTCTTCTTTCTTCCTTTAGGAAGGTAGAAGACATTTTGATGTGGGTATTGAATTCTGTCCTCAAAAGCATATTTTGAAACCCTAACTCCTGTTACTTGTGAACAAGCGTTGTTTATAAGTAGAGTCTTTCGATGTTAGCATATGTTAACATGAGGCCATTCTAGACAAAGGAAGGTCCTAATCTCATCTGAAGGATATCATGCTTGGTAAGATGGAGGGTTGGAGAAAAAAAGGAAGACCCCCAACGAGTTGGATTGCCCAGGTGGCAGCATTGATGGACTCAAGTGTGACAACAGTAGTGAGGTTGGCCCAGAATCGGACATTGTTTCGTTTTCCTGTGCATAGGGTCGCTATGAATCTGTGTCGACTCAACGGCACCTAACAACAACAACAATAACAACAATCTCATCTGAGTGGCATCTTTATAAAAGAGCAGAAACATATTGAATCAGACATAGGGAAAATAATCATGTAAAGATACATGGCAAGGGAAATATGGGGATCCCAGAATCTGGAAGACACAGGAAAGGATCTTTTTGTAGGGAGTTTGTTGGGAGTAAGGCCTGGCTGGCATGTGAATTGGATTTCTCATCTTTAGAACTTTGAGACAATAAATTGCTATTGTTTAAAAACCACCCATTTTGTGGAAATTTGCTATACCAGCACTAAGAAATCAATACAGTTGTCAAGGAAAGAAAGCCAGGTATACAAGTTAAAAAATATTGCTTCAAAATCATTGTTGTTAAGTGTTATTGGATTAGTTTTGACTCATAGCAACCAAGGATAGGGTTTCTGAGGAGTGGTTGGTTGACTTGAACCACTGACCTTGCAGTACAAACCTACCGTATGGTCTAGTGCTTATCCTACAGAGCCACACCAGTACTCAGAACTATCACAATGTGAAGGAATTGTGTGAAGGAATAATTTGTCAGCATATCATCCACCCAGGTATACAAATTTCGGAAGGCAATATTACCATCCCCCTAACCTGGTGTGGTGCTGTGTGTTAATTCACTGCATTTTGCTGGTTTGAACTGCAAGGTCAGGGCTTCAAACTCAGCAGCTGCTCCTTGGAAACCCTATACAGGGTTACTATGTGTCGGACCCAGCTTGACAGCACTTAACAACAACAACAACCCTTCTAAACCAATAAATTTGAAAGACAACTACCTGGCCAAGTGACTGGAAGAGATCCAATTGTTCCCATTCCAAAGAGAGGTGGCCCAGTGGAATGCTGAAATAATTGGACAATATCATTAATATTCCATGCAAGCAAAATTTTTCTAAAGATAATGCAAAAATGGCTACGTCCTTACATTGACAGAGAATTTCCAGAGTTTCAAGCTGGATTAAGAAGATGTGGAATGAGGGGCATCATTGTTGACATCAGAAGGAACTTGGCTAAAAGCAGAGACTACCAAGAGATATTAACCTGTGCTTTATCGACTATGAAAAGACTTTCAAGTGTGTGAGTCATGACAAGTTATAGACAGTATTGTGAAGAATGAATATTGTAGAACACTTAATTGTGCTCATGAGAAACCTGTACATAGACAAAGAAGCAATTGTTCTAAAAGAACAAGGGGACACTGAATGGTTTAAAATTAGGAAAGGTGTGTGCCAGCGTTATATTATTTCACCATACATATCTGATCTGTATACTGAGCAAATAATTTGAGAAGTTGGATTATATGAAGGAAAACATGCTATTGGGATTGAAGGAAGACTCATTAACAACCTACAATATACAGATGATACAACCTTGCTTGCTGTTGAATAGGGCTTAAAATATTTACTGATGAAGATCAAAGAGCACAGCCTTTGCAGTGCGTTGCACCTCAATATAAAGAAAACAAGAATTCTCACCACCAGACCAATAAGCAACATCATGATAAATGGAGAAAAGATTGAAGTTTTGCTTGGATCAACAATGAATGCTTATGAGAGTAGCAGTCAAGAAATCAAATAATGTATTGCATCAGTCAAATCTGCTGCACAAAACCTCTTTATAGTGTTGAAGAGCAAAGATTCCAGTTTGAGGACTAAGGTCCTCAAACCTGACCCAAGCCATGGTGTTTTCAATAACCTCATATGTATGTGAAAGTTAGATAGTGAATAAGGTAGACTGTAGAAGAATTGATGCATTTGAGCTATGGTGTTGGAGGAGAATATTGAATGTACCATGGACTGCCAAAAGAACAAAGCAATCTATGTTGGAAGAAGTACAGCCATAATGCTACCTGGAAGACAAGATGGCCAGACATTATCTCTCATAATTTTGGCATATTTTCAGGAGTGACCAGTCTTTGGAGAAGGATATCATGTTTGGTAAAATGGAGGGTCAGAGAAAAAGTGTAATAAGACACCTAATGAGATGGACTGGCACAGTGGCAGCAATAATGAACTAAAATGTAGCAACAGTTGTGTGGTTGGCACAAGACTTGCAAGTGTTTTGTTCTGTTGTGTATAGGGTCACTATGAGCCCTTACCCACTTGATGGCACCTAACAATAACAACAAAAACCCTACCCTGAAGAATTCTGTGCTCTTTGCTTCACACCATGTCAAAATGGTAATTTTGGAAACTTGGAAGGACTACAATCGTATTTCTTTTAAATATTCTTTGAATTTTGGGGACAAAAAAGAATTCTGAAGGGGAAGATCAAGGCTGTGTGATGAATGGGGCAAGATTTCCCAATGGAATTCTTCTAGAAAAGCCCTTTCTACGCTTGAAGAATGTTGTTAAGTGCTTTAAAGTTGTTTCTGACACATAATGACTCTCTACAGGGTTTCCAAGGAGCAACTGGTGAGCTTGAACCACAAACCTTGTGGCTCAAATGACTTTGCAGTCCAGTGCATTAGCCCACAGTGCTACACCAGTACTCCGCTTGAAGTATAGTAGGTGGAAAAACATTTCCTTGAAACAACTTTACTGGCTGTTTTCTTAAATTTTCCTAAAACTTATTCCTAATATGTACCTGTGATCATCCTGTATCCCTTGACAAAATCTATCACGATTTCCTCTAAATCCCTCTACTAGCCAAGGTAAACAAAGACACTTGTTTTGGGTAATGTAGTTTAAGAGCTTAGAGTTACCTCACAGAGTCAGCAAGGGCTAGATCTGTCTTTGGAATATGCAGAGAGTCTGAACCCATAGGAACTGTTGAACCAACCATACATTACTAAACATTCAACAAAGTACTTACTTCATTTTCATTTAAAGAATCCTGGTCCCAAGCTAGGGTTAAAATGCTGACATGTATTTTCATGACAACTCACCATATCAGAGTAACCCTGCAGTAACTACTGTCTGGAAGCCAGTTCATGGTCTGCATATCAGGTCCACAGTATCATGATAAAGATTTAGAAAAGGGTGGTCTCTCCAGTGGAAAGTCTTAGCTCCCAGGTGGAGGGAGATTTACAAGGAAATAGTTCTCTACCTGCTACACATTTAAACACAAAAACATCCTCAACCCACAACAAACAGGATTCTTCTACGCTCTGACAACCACTAATTGAAGAGCAGAACATTCATTTTAAAGTGTGGCAGGTGAAAAGCTTGTTTAAAAATATAAATAAACATTAATTAGCTATAAACATGACAGCTACAGACTTGCTTCCTGCTGGGACCATCTGAGAGGTGGGAGAGAAACAGCTGAGAACTAAGTACGAGTCACTCTGTAAGAAAGCTCTGTAATGGGTTCATCTTTCAGTTACCTATAAGGATATATATAACCATCCTCCTACTGGTAGCAAGAAGCCCCGCTATTATCCTGGATTAGAAGTTGGGCTGCAAATTGCAAGGTCAGCAGTTCAGAAATACCAGCTGCTTTGATAGAAAAAGATGAGCCTTTTTGCTCCCATAAAGATTTACAACCAAGGACACGCTATACAGCAGGAGTGGGGAAATTATTTCTGCCAAAATTTATAACATCATTTATGGGCCATATAGAATTTTCAACTTAAAAATTAGCCTGCTATATTTGCTGGAGAAGATAAAGTCAATTATTATAACAAAATGTGCAAAGATCTGGAATCAGAAAACCAAAAAGGAAGAATATGCTCAGCATTTCTCAAGCTGGGGGAACTGAAGGAAAAAATCAAGCCTTGACTTTCGTTATTGAAAGGTTCACTGGGAAAATTATTGAATGATGCAGAAAAAGCATCAAGAAAAGATGGAAGGAATACACAGAGTCACGGTACCAAAAGGAAATGGTTAATGTTCAACCATTTCAAGAGGTCCCATATGATCAAGAGCCAATGATACTGAAGGAGGAAGTCCGAGGTGCATTGAAGGAATTGGAAAAGAACAAGGCACCA